CACCTTACATTTGGGTAAAGGAATACTCCAGCTGTTTCTGGTAATAGTCGATTTCAAGATCTAACACTATGTCACTCTATTCTGTTTAACATTCAGGAATAATTGCCTTTCCTTTTTGAGGTCCATGCACAATGCCTGGGTGTGTCAACTAATGAACTCAATCACGGGGCAAGAAACAGTATTTATAATGCTGGGTACCAGGGGACCCCCTGGGTACTCTACCTTAATTCTTTCCTCCTACTTTATAGTAAAGTCTGATTCTAACTCCAGGTTACTGTGCCTTAAAAATGTTAAAATTCAATGATTCCTCTGACCTCTCTCACAATTAATTTCTATTGAGTAGAACCAAAATTAGTTCTACAACTTAATTTTAAAAAATCAGCCTCACTTACCTTTTTTAAGATGAAAATTCTGATCAGTACAAACAGCACGCCAGACATGAAACCAGACAACAGTGGAGATATAAACCAAGAAGCAACTGAATAATTAAAAAAAAAAGTATAATGAATGCTAAGATTCTGCATTATTCGAGTCAGATCTATACACTACAATGGTAACAATTATATGGTACATGCATTCATAAATATTCCTAGAGTCATTCATCTTAACTCAGAACCTAACAAACCCACTGCCCTAGATGAGCTGCCCTTCACACATGCACACTCCCCTCACGCATGGTCCCACAGAGCCGAGCACACTTCCAGCACACAACTGAGTAGGCGACCCCGAGCTCTGGATGCAGCAGGTGGACTTGATTCCCACCGAGCCCCCTCTGCCTGCTCTTCTCATCAATCCATATAAAGACTCAGTCCTTGTTCCAGCATAAGGGTGATTTAAAAGGTGGGCCACCTTCCATTTCATTTTCCAAGTCCAGCTGGGACTGTCACCCTGACACTCACTCTTAGCCTCTAGCCTAGTCGTTCCCAATTCTGGCTGCACATTGGAAACATCTGAGGCGTTTTCAAAACCTCCGGCTCCACCCTCAGAATTCTGATTTAAAAGGTTTGGAACAGGGCCTGGGCATTGATGTTTTTAAATTGCTCCCCTAAGTAATTCTAATGTGCAGATAGAGTTGAGAACCATGGTTCTAGAAGCCTGCGATCTAAAGCGATTTTCCTGGCCATCTGAGTCCCTGCTTGGCAGGTCAAGGATTCATTTGACCTAGAGCACCTGAGGTCACTGTGATTTTTAAAAGGATGAGCAACCCAAAGGATGGAGATGAGGGGAGAGAGCATTTTTTACGATGGGCAGGTTGGTACTTATGGGCTGAATGGATTTCCCTCTTACTAAAGCCAGGGCCAGGAAGCAAGTTGCCAGACCTCTTAAAAGAGTCCCTGTGGGCAGCCTACAGCCCAAAAGGAACACTAGCGTGCCTCCTCTATGCAGGACGGACTGGGCACTCTCTCAAGTGCAGTGAGGTCAATAACACTGGGCTCACTTCAAGGCTTCCCCATGACCATGAACTCTGACTCCTAGGCACCAAAGGCATTTTCCTCATTAGGACCTAGTTTTTCTCTGACTACAGGCTGATTTCAATGAGATAAATTTCTTTGCTGCCTGGGAACAACAGATAAATATTGGTTTTTCAAAGCTGGGTGACAATGTAACATTTAAGAGTGTTTGGAGGTAAAAAAAATTCTCTAACATGTTAACAGTTTACAATCTCTGTTAACAGAAATTTTAAGGAAAAATATATTACCCATTTAGGTCTTCTAAACCTTAACATTTGAAGGAAAAATATATTATTATGCCAACTTTTAATAAAACTTACTCTAGAGAACGTAAACTTTCCTTCTCATAGGTAAAAGAAAATGGCAATTACCAATCTTGACCAGCTCCATCCACTGTACACCTTTGGTGCCAATTGCAACAAGTGAGAATCCTATAGTTGCACCAACAATGCAATGAGTTCCTGAGATTGGAAGTCTCAGGAAGGATGCAATAAGCTGCCAAACAGCTGAACCTAGAGGTGGAAAGATTTAAAAAAAAAAAAGTCAGGTATAGAGCACAGCTTCTCAAAACAGCCACAAAAGGAAGAAATACAAATTATTGTTCTCCGTAACAGCACCCCACGGGGTTAATTTTCTGTGGGTGGTTTCTTTACAAAGCGCTAATGTCCTGACGAAACTACTCAATTAACTTGAGTCAAAGAAAAAGCTTCACTAATGGACAGATAACGATGATTTATTTAAAGAAAAGTATTTAAAGAAAAGTCTCTTGGTGCGGGTTATTAACTGCCTTTGTCACATGTAGGTAAGGGAGCTGGTAACTTGTTCTGATGGGAAGCGCGGCCAAGACCAAGCTAGTGATTAAGGACTGGAATAAACAGAATAACAAGAAAGGCTGCACACTGGAAAAGCTTTCGTTGTAGTTATGCCTTGCGGTCACATGATGAGGAGGGCCAAAGAGCGGCTGTGTCATGTTAGTCTGTACACGAGAGCGTGGCACCACGTTGCTTTTTGATTTTTGCCTCTCGCATGAGAAGGAACTGTGATGCTCAACCCTAAGTTGGGCATCTGCTCTCGGTCCCTGCCTGGAACGATGGAGCTTTGCCTTATATGCTCTCTCAAGCCTTCTACTTCTTAGTAGCTAAGAGGATCCCTTAGTTGTGGCTTTGTGTCCTTTTACCTCAATTTCACCACTCTTTTCCAGGCTTAATGTTTTTCTAGGCTATAGTTCACTTCGGATATTTTCATAAGCAGATCAGATTTTGCAGGGAGTATTAAAAGCATCAGCTGGGAGAGCTCACTTTCAGACACAGTTGTTGAAAAGTTCATATAGAGCTGTAAGGGAACAAAGGGTTTGGCTGATAAGCAGGGCCCGTTACTAATCCCAAATGTTAATTCTGGAAATCTGGTTGCTTGGCAGCAGCAGCACTTTCAAGCAGACCCTTGGCATTTTCTTCAAAAATATCTGAGTTACAGGGGATCATTCAAGGCTGTGCAGGTCCCAGTTTGTGAAGCAATGCTGACAGCTGCTCCGTGAGCACTAGGTATGCTGACCTTTGAGCTGCAGTGGGCTGTGACTCTGGGTCTGTCCCTGAAGCGTGTGTTGGAAGGAGAAGGGGCCACGCCAGTGCTGCCAAACCGGTAACAAGGGCTCCATGGCAGCACCCCGGCTCCCCAGGGGACAATGCCTTAAGCCTTCACTCCTAAGCCCTGGGTTCTGCAGGGACTCCACGGTTGTTTTAAAAATAAAGCCAGAGTTTGAAGCATGTTTCACAGCATAGAACCATAACTTAAAAAACAAACTTTATGATTTCTATCCTTACAGAAATTAAAATAATCTAGTGATGTTAAGAGAATGGTAGAAACTCACCCACATGATTGAGACCATGAGATTTTTTCCTTCCTGAAAGCTGCTATTCTTTCTCTGGCTGACTTTATAACGTAAGTCCTGGAGCAGGAGGGTTTATAAGAAAAGGTAGGGGGGGTGGGGGCTGCCTGAGAGAGGGAAGAAGAAAAGGAAGAGGGCCAGTGGGGAGGAGTGAAGGGGCAGCTAAAGAAGGGAAAGGAGGCAGGTGTTTGCAGGGGACTTAGCAAGGTGAGAGAGGGCGAGAGGCCTCCTTAACCCCAGGAATTTCTGCAGGCAGATGGGATTACATTCGTGTTAAGAAAAACAGTGGGAAAGAGAAATATATTTTAACTTAGAATAATGATACCCCACAAAAAGGAAAGGGGTTAAGCACAGGATACGGGCATAAGAAAAAACCTAGGGAAGGTTTGGAGGGAAATGGGCATCTCTGAGGCAATAGGTTCCTGGGAAGATGAAAGGCGGCAGAGCAAAGGTTCAGGGTTACCGTCAAGGCAGGCAGGCAGGCATGAGCAAGTGCGGGGCAGGGGGAATGCTCAGAGGTTATGGGCAGAGAGGGAGCTTTAAGGAGACTGCACTTCTTAGTGTGGCTCAAGGAGACGGTTTTTTCGTGCTGTGGTGGGCATTTCCATGGGAAGATGGTGAGTTTTAGATTCTCAGTAGATTTTTGGAACCATTGGTGGTGTCATACTAAGTGGATTGACTATTGCTTTAGGACTGAGCTAGAGTCCCAAAAGATAACTTGTTCAAGAAGTTTAGCTGGCACAAACAATTTCTTCCACCCAACCAACTAGCGCCACCACAACTTTATCAGAAAGCACAGAGACCCATGGGCTTGGGGAGAAGTTTCTGGAAAAAAAAAAAAGAGAGAGCAAAAATAAAATAGAATAGAATAAAAGGACAGGGGAAGAGAGGGAGAAAAGATACAGATGTAGAATTTAGAAGAGGAAGATTAGGAGAATTCAGGCATCTGAACAGAATCAGCTTTGATTTTGGCCAATAATAATTATACCACCATCTTAAATTTACATAGTTCCCATTTGCAAGGAACCCAGTTTTTGAAAATCTAGGTAACCCATATAAATTCCCAACAAAATAGGCCTTGAGACTTGTCTAACCACACACACAAGAAAAGAAGGAGGGGAAGAAAAAGAAAAGAGAGAAACCAAAGCAAACAAAATCAAGTTATTCAAGCAAAACCCCAAATTGCTTTGGTTAACCTAAATTCTAGTTGAGGTAAGTATTCTTCATTCTTTCAGTGGAGAGCCAAGGGCCAGGGGTGGGAAAATTGTTGTCCACACAAAAAGCAAGCAGGGACACAGCTCCGCTCACAAGGCTTTCTGTCCATCGGAGGGCTCAGTGTGGCCTCACTAATGAGTCTCTTTAATAAGCACCACCATTCCTCGGGTTTCATCCAGCGAAAGGAGAAACTTCTGTTAACACTTAATTTTATCAGGGTTCCTTTTCATTTCTCCCCTACCTTCAACATATCTTGCCCACACCATCCTGACTGAAAAAAATCTTAATTTCAGGTCAATATGATTACGTCTTAGACACCTATTACAGCTATACATGGGTGAATTTTACAAGTGACTTATTTTTCTATGAGAAATTTCAATTATATCTGACGATGATAAAAAATGTATGTTCACTGAAGTTAAGTAAAAATCTATCATTACAATAGCTGCTGGAATTAAAGTGATGGTGAACCCTACATCTTTGAAACACAGAATGTTCAGCTGAGACACAGGAACTCCTCAGCATATGTTACCAGCCTACTGCACTTAGTCGTATTTAATACCTTAGTACATCGGTCTGCTTCGGATCAAATGCCTCAACAACTTCTCAGACTAACTTGCTATAATAAAAAGATGATGGATCATCTTAAATCTGGCAAATCATTTCCACATCCTGGGTGCTTAAGTAATGCCAGTGACGATAAATAACTAGGAACCTGTGGAATGTGGCTCTGTTCTTGGTACACCAGCATCTTACCTCCTACTGCAGGACTCTTCCTACAGAAGGATATGTCCTGGTGAAAGCAGAAGGTGGGAGACTTCCTCCCTAACCCTCTTCTCCCTAACCCAGTTCCCGTACTGATCAGCTGTGTGCTGTGCAGTCCTCTCTCCCCAGAGGCAAGGAGAGAAAGAGTCCTGTCAGCTGTGCTTAAGGCACCTCTGCCCGAGTCTTCTTTTCTGCTGCAAGGGCAGCGAGGGAAGTGCCCACCCAGTGCTTGGAGTCTAAGGTCACCTTGGGCAATGGGGAAATCCCACTGTCTGACCAGCCAATCTCCTGTTAACATACTTCACTGCCTTCAACACTGCTCTCTCATCTAGACAACCTGAAACCACCAACAGGTGACACACAAATGACCTTTTGATCAGAAAACAAAACAAACATACCAAATGGAGCTCCCAGAGGTAGAATTAGAAAATCAAAACAAAAGCCAACAAAAGGACTACAAATGATGTAGAAGACCAGAACTTCTAGAAGCACAAACACTTAAGATTTATTTGGTACCTGCTCTAAAACTTAAACTGAGAATACAAGTTAAATTAATAAATATTGTTTTATTGGTATCCAAGTTTTCAAACCATTGCATCCTAATTGATTTTTTAAAAATTTATAAAAAATAGAAATAAACCTTAAAGGAAATCTCTTAAGAAAATCTTTCAAACACATTTTATTAGACACGCTATTTCTCTAATAACTTTCAAACTACTTTAAAACCACAAAGAGCTTCCCTACAAATATCTTTTTCTGTACTTTATAAAAGTACTCAGCTGAAATCTATTTTAACAACCAAGTTTGCTAAAACTTTGAGAAAATGTGTTTGCTTGATATTTGAAAACTAAAAAAAATAAAATAAAATGCAGAAAGCAAAACTAAGATAGAGCAAATATAAAACATCAAAACAGTTTTTGCAAAGTTAAAGTAAAAATCACATTTATGGATATGACAAAAGCACTGCAGGGGAGAAGGTCAGTGGACACATTTCCCATAGGTATAAAGAATAGTGCTACTTACCAACCATTGCACTAACTTCCCCAGCCATTAGTGTTTCTACTGTCTCGTTGTATAGGTTCACATCAATGATACCTTTTCGAATGGTCTCTCCTACTTTGGCTCCCAATAACACTGAGCCTGTAGTTTCAAATATTGAAGCCAAAATGCACGCCTGCCTCAAGGTCACCACGCCGGAGCCCACAGCAGTACCAAATGAATTGGCAACATCATTTGCACCAACAGAAAATGCCAAAATAAAAGCTATGATAAAACCTAAAATGACCATCCACAAATACTCATCCATGGCCATTTTGGAAAGTGGGCTCTGGGTACTTTTCTTTTGCAGATATATTTTAAATAAACGAAGCTTGAGGTTATAAATGTCGTAAGGCCGAGAGTTCTTGTAAACAGTGAGTTTGCTCTGGAAAGTGCTGGACAATGTTAGAGCCTGAACAAACTGCTAACTGCTGGTTTTCAAACTACTGTCAGTACAGTTCATTTGGTTGTGTTCAGTCAGCGGTAAAACACATTCCATATTTTTCCTCCCGATCTGGGAAAGCTGTGATGTCTCCTCCTGCAACAGAAAGAAAACAGAAGAAATCAATTACCCTAACCAACCGGTAACAGTTTGTTCTTTCAGAAATAAATGTTTTAAGCCTACTAATGGGATCTAACTTTGGCATGTGACAGATCTAACCATAGAGCAACTCAAGGAAGATTTATAATTAGGTTAACTAACCCCGCCCCTCCTATAACAGCTGATTTCTAGAATGTCAGAGGTTGCAGCATGCTTTCTAATTACAAGCCTTAATGGGATATGTTTTTATACAATTTGAAAAAATATATTTGGTCATTATTTTCAAAAGGAAAAATTGTCTCAAATGAACAAAAGATAAAGAAATGAGGAACACATCAGTCCTGGCCCGCTAGCTAAGTTGGTTAGAGCATCATCCGGATATGCCAAGGTTGTGGGTTCCATCCCCCAGTAAGAGAACATACAAGCAGCAACCAATGAACACATAGATGGGTGCAATAGCAAATCAATGGTTTTTTTCCTCTTTCTCTCTCCCTACTTTCCTTCCTCTCTCTCTCTCAAATCAATAAATTAAAAAAACCTTTTTTAGAAAAAGAAATGAGAAATTCAGAGTTATAAATTTTTTCAAGAATGTGAAATGCGCCAAATTTCTTGGAACGGTGATAACCAAATCTGAATCTGTGACACCACAGGGTGTGGCTGGCTATCTGCCTGCACATTTATGCATAAGGAGTAGGATTCTGCATTATGACTACATCATGCTTGTCTAAAAGGAAGTTTACAGGTTCTGGTACAAAGTGACTCATCCGGAAGGTGACAAAGGCCAGAGCTGACGAGCCTCACAGAAGGAACAGAGAAAGCTGGTGAATGAAGCCATCCTATTAAAGCACAAGTCAGGTCAATAAACGATTCCACTACTTCCCATCTCACTTGGAGGAAAAGCCAGGGGCCCTACCATGGCCTGGAAGACCCTCCAAAATCTCCTCAGGGCTCCACCCCCAGCTCACTGATCTCAGCTCCTGTTCACCCCCTTCCCTCACAGGCTCCCTGCTTTTCCTTGCAAACATCAAGCACTCACCTCAGGGCCTTTGTACCTGCTGACCCTCTGTCAGGAAAAATCTCCCTGACAGCTGCACAGCTCACTGTGCACTCTATTTAGGTCTCTGCTCAAATGTCACCATCAGAGACATTTCCTGACCTTGTGAAAAGCAGCCTCTCCCCCACACCATTATTCATTCCTCTCACCTTCTTTTCTTTTCTCCGCATCACCTCATACATACATTCATTCATTCATGCATGCATTCATTCAGTGTCTGTCTTCTCTCAGTGGGATGCAGGCACTTGGTTGGATTCACTACTGTACCTCTCGTACAGCAGTGCCTGGCATGTGGTAAGCCCTAATGAATTTGTTGAATAAATGAAGAAAGAAGCTATTAAACAAATGGAGGAAAGTCTTACATATTCATCATTCTGAGATGAAGAGGAGATGTCACAAAATTAATATACCTGTGAAGTAAAAATGTTACTAAAGCTTCGGAATTATGGTATTCTATTATTACACAGTATGAAATCTGTATATTTTCTTTGATGGTATTAGGTGCATAGGCAGGTGCCTGGCACAGTGGCGTTCTTCATAAGTGCTTGTTAAATTGAATAAATCAGGCTCAACATTCAGGTTACATAGGGGATTAAGCAGGACACAAAATTTTATGTACAATGTGATCATGGCAATGTTAAAAATGCATATAAAAAGCCCACCAGGGCCCTGGTGAGGTGGGTCAGCTGGAGCATTGTCCTATACACCAAAAGGTTACATGTTCAATTCCCGGTCAGGGCACATACCTAGGTTGCTGGTTGCTTACGAGAGGCAACCTATCAATGTTTCTTTCACACATCAATATTTCTCTTTCCTTTCCTCTCTCTCTAAAAGTCAATAAAAACATATCCTTGGGTGAGAATTTTAAAAAAAGTCCAACAGGTAATATACTAAAATTATAATGGTGGGTGAGTTTGAGTGGTAGTGTTATAGATGATTTTTTTCCTTTCCTCCAAAAACTATACTGTGGTTTTGTGCTTTTCAAATTAAAATAATATATAATAAACAAAATAAACATAGGTTAAGCACCATCTCAGTATGCAATGCTATGAATATACAATGAAATAGAAAGTGTACTGTGATAGATCTGATCGCTTTCTCAGATTTGTAACCTATGCAATTCTGGAGAGTACCATCCCAAGTGAAACAAGTGAAAAGACCACTCTAAAGGCAGAAGACAATAGTCCACTGAAAGAGCATTTTATTAATATTATGGTCACAATAAACCTATAAATGAAAATACAAAATAAAAACTATTTTTGACCAATATTATCTATCCTAAAAGATAAAGACTTCTTTTTTTTTTTTAATATATCTTTATTGATTTCAGAGAGAGGAAGGGAGAGGGAGAGAGAGATAGAAACATCAATGATGAGAGTCATTGATCGGCTGCCTCCTGCACGCCCCCGACTGGGAATCGAGCCCGCAACCCGGGCATGTGCCCTGACCGGGAATCAAACCCCGATCGCCTGGATCCTAGGTCTACGCTCAACTGCTGAGCAACACCCGGCCAGGCTAAAGAATTCTTGAGAAAATCTTGTTTGCCAGGTTAGATTTCCAACAGGGCAAACAAGAACCACATTCAACAAATATTTACTGAGAACGTCCTTTGTGAGAGTTACTAGGGATATAATGAAGAGTAAGAATGGATGTGGTCCTGGCACATATGGGGCTCACAGTACAGTGAGGGAAACAGACACTAATCAAATAAACTCAATATATGACTAGAAACTGTGATAAGTACTACAAAGGAGAGAGGCACGTGTCTCAGCATCGTGAGAGCACAGCTGGGGGCTAGAAAGACTCACCTGCAATCTAAGAATGGGGGAGTTAACTCTGGGACTGGATGGGGCATTCCAGGCATTTCCTGGGTGGGAAGGAGCTGAATGAGGAGAGGAGACTGGAGGCAGGCCAGTGTGAGGAAATCACAGTGAAAGTTGGGTTGGGCCATACTGAAGACTGTAGCCACCATGAGAACAATGGGGTGATACTGAAGCGTTTTGAACAGAGGGATGTCACCCTAATCACACTTTAATTTTGAAAAGATTATTCTGGCTACAACAGGGAGAATAAACTAGATAGAAGGTGAGAGTGAATGTGGAAAGACTAATTACAAGGCTACATCATGGTTCAGACGCAAGGGAGGTCTCCTGTACTCAGGGTGGTGGTGGTATGATTTAAGGAGGTACTTCAGCAGCTAAAGTCAATAGGACCTGCTGATGGTTTACCTATGGCTGTTGAGAGAGGATAGATGGTTACTGACTTGTGGAACTGGACTGAAAAATAACTGAATGGTTATTTTCCCCTTTGGGGCATTGTTTTTAGGTGTTAGAATGGGGTTGACCACAGGCTCACTTTGGACATGTTGCACACAGAGGTAAATCACAGGAGCACAGATGAGAAGTGTGGTTAGTTGAGGCACCAGAGCAGGTGTGTCCTCAGCCCAGTCTTGCTTAGGGAGGGTATAAATAATCTTTATGATTTTTGTGGCACCATTTCAGACCAGGGATTCCCTCTCCTACTTAGATAATCTTAAATAACTTATTTCCACAGTCATGTCTGTGTTCTTTAATTTGGCTTTTCTCCTTCAGTCATACCGTCAGTAACCAGCTCAAGTCCAATAAGCATCTGGTTGAAGAGAAAGGCTTTCCACTTTTGTGAAACCTAAATGATTTCTATCTTGCATTGCATTTACAAAGCCTGTTATGTGTTGCAAGTACCAACACCTTGATTTTCTCCCCTTTCCACTGTTATCAAACACAAGCAAAATAAAACGAAGTGCTTAAATAACAACAAATCTGCTGCACAGAGAAAGATGGCAATACCGAAGACACCGAGTCACAGGCAGCCCAGAGGACCACCATNAATAACAACAAATCTGCTGCACAGAGAAAGATGGCAATACCGAAGACACCAAGTCACAGGCAGTCCAGAGGACCACCATGGTGGAGGCCAGGATGGTAATTTGCCAAGAATGTAGAAAGCCCACATTCATAGTGGCTGAGGGCTGAGGGCTGAGGGCTGAGCAGGTGTGGCATCTGAGAGTGCTGCTTGTTTGAAAGTAGGACTTTTAAGGTGGGTGATCAAATCAGTGGGGAAAGATCAGACTTATTCAATACATGATGTTGGGACAACCCGCTGACTGCTAACTATCTGAAAGGAAGAGAAGAAAGCTAGATCCCTACCTCACACCAAAACAAATGAAAGATTTAAATGCAAAAAGTGAAACCTGAAGAAAATAAAAGAAAACACAGGCAAGTATTTACTTAGTATTGGGATCAGGAAACCTAGACATGACATCAAAGGCAGTGAATAAAAAGAATCAACAGCCCTGACTGGTTTGGCTCAGTGGTTAGAGTGTCAGCCTGTGCACTGAAGGGCCCCAGGTTCAATTCCAGCCAAGGGCACGTACCTCGGTTACAGACTTGATCCCCAGCCCTGGTCAGGGCACGTGCAGGAGGCAACCAATCAATGTGTCTCTCTCACATTGATGCTTCTCTCTCTCTCTCTCTCTCTCTCTCTCGTCCTTCCACTCTCTGAAAAGCAATGGCCTCTGGAGGATTTAAAAAAAAAAAAACTTTAGAGAGAAGTCATGTAGCTGGGAGACAGAGAGGACTGATAGCCAGCCACTGCCTTGGTTCTTTCTGACTCTCCCACCAAGGCTTCTCTACAAGAGGTCAGAACATGAAGGAGAGTGAGAATGAGCTTCCTAACTCTCTCTCTCTCTTCCTCCCCTGATGTGAAAGACCTACAAGGGTGGGATTCACAGCACAGAGGTTACAAATTATTCCTCAATTTTCAGATGCCACTGACCTCTTGCATTTTAGGAAGAGGGGCCTTAGAGTGTTTTGAATTATTGTAGGAGGTGCTGAGGGGTTTCATAAATTCTGTCTCCCACACTTGTAATGTTAATAAGAGCTTCACTTTTTCTCAGGACTCTGAT